GAGCCATAAAGCTCAGACAAAAAAAGAAAGGGGTGATATTAGTCCTATAGTAGAAACCCTGCATGCATATACTCAAAGGCACGTGTGCACCATAAAGTAAGACTGCAGAAACCAAATCCATTATGTTGGAGCACGAAGGCTTAGAAGTCACCCCGATTCAAATCCCGTTGGGAGTGAGTGCTCTCTCTTTACTACCTGCCTGTACTCGCAGATCTGTGTACCTACAAGTGCCAGCCCCACGACTGCCAGATCTCTTCAGTCCCACCTGAGAAAGGAGCACGGCAAGGGTGACCAAGGATCTGGAAGGCTAAGCGGTCAGGCTGGGTAGCACCAGAGCAAGGGGACAGGATAGGTTTCTGCCCAGATTGCAGTGTCAGTCTGTGGGGAAGGTCTCCAGCCTGCAAAGCAAACAGATGCTACTGGGACAGTTGCCTGCAGCAGCACCCTGCCAAAACAGCTCACCTGCAAAGAGCGCTGGGAATGGAGCACCTGCCCCGGCTTGCATAACAAGAAACTCCAGGAGGAAAACATCATCAGCATGCATGCTGCTTTAATAGCTCATAATAGCACACGGCAGGAGTCTCAACAGCAAATACAGCGGGGACATATCAAACCCGGGAAGTGCCCATCTCCAATCACACCTCTCTATGGGAAGCTCAGTGCCGTGCCATATATGTGACATCCAGCCCAGCTAGCGGGATACAGCAATTGTGCATGCGTTCGGACACAGCCACTGCTTACATGGAACCAGAAGGGAAGCAACAATCATTTTGCTTTTCTTGGCACTTCCTTCCCTGAAAAGCATGTAGAAAATGCTGTGCGCAAGCAAAGAAACATGTCCTAAGCAAAGGGGTCCCTGTACCTGACCCCCTCAGGCCAAGGCAGGGCCTCACAAGGCACTTACTTTTCTTCACAGCTGACAAAAAAATAGGAAAGGAGCATCTTTTTCTTGTGTATAAGCTATTCCAAATCTGTCTGGGATGCAGCAGATAGCGAGTTTGTCTACCTACAACGCGCTCCAAGAGGGCTCATATAAAAGGCTGCTAACGCTTAAGCCTCACGACGCCACTTTAAGAGCCAGATTTCCAAATGCAGTAGGAGCACTGTCTGCAAAAATATGGCCACTGTGTGTGCAGACTGGGGGGCTGCAAAGCTAAACTGAGGTCAGAAATAGCCCTGGCCAAACCTGCTTCCCCTCCTGTGCAATGCCACTTGCACTTCAGTTTTCCTGCCTCCAAGTTTAGCTGTTATGCTGTGGTCACATCCTGCTCTGGGGTTTTATGCTCCTCATCTTGTTGTTACAGTGGGAGATCTCTGGTGAGCTTTAAAAGGTCCCAGTTGTGCAGCTTTGACCTAGGGACTGTCATTAGCATTCAATCAGCCCTCTCCACAGAATGCATTTGACATCTTTCCCTCCCAAAAAGCCCATCCCTTTCAGAGATGGCAGACAGGGCAAACCTTGTAATAAGCTCCTAAAAGAGCATGATCACAGGCAAGTCGGTCCATTGCTGCAGCCTCTTCCAAGGCAAAATTCATCTGTGGCCAATAATTCACACACCCAGCAAGACCAAGGCAGGGAACTGCTGTCAGCATTGGATAGTACAGCATCTAGACACCTTCTTTGCAGACTTCTTATTTTGGACACATGCATTTCTTCTACATGGCTAACCCTCACCTTAGTAGAAAGCAGGATTTTCCCATGTATACAATGCAGTTTTTCTCCCCCAAAGAGAGGCTCCTAAAGCAGGGTGTTTCTGATCCACCAAAGCTGCAGGGAAGGGCAGCTGCTGAAGCTCCCACCCTATCTCCCAATACATTGGAGAGGAGCCTGGGGACACTGGCGAGAGAAGTCAGGTTTGTGGGGGGCAAAAAATCAGGACAAGGGGCATGTTAAACAGCCCCTGCCTCACCACCACTGACAATACAGGGGGTGTCACAGAGGCACCATTTTACCCTTTTTTGAAGGGTGCCTCTTGCACACCAGCACGTCTTGTACACCTCAAAATACACTGACAATTTAGACATGGGGGAAGTTAGAGGCAGGCCTTCTGGGAAAACAGGGGAGCTGCTCCAGACGAGGTGGTGACCAGAATATGCTGCCTATATACATAGTAAGCAGTGAAGGAGGCTTTAGCTGATCACTGGATGGGGTCAGAGGCAGCTTCATGTCTTGGCATGGATACAGCGCTCTTTCTGAAACAGCAACATTCCCCCCAGTCCTAGTGCTTGGGGTCCTGATTATCACCACCCAGATGACAGATTGCTGTCACTTTCTTCCCTGAAACGTGCCTGAACCTCTGCTGCCCAGCTCCCCTCCTCGGTGTATTTTCTGAGAGTGCTCTTGGCAGAGCTTGGGTCCAATTTTCCTTGCCATCCTTCCCAATCAGCTGTGGCAAATGAGTGCCGGGATCTTTCCTTGCACAAAGAGAAGGCAGGTGCTGGCTCAAGATCAACATGCCAAACCCCGTTCTTCAAGGCCAGGGATGCTCCCCGCAGCAGCCGGGGGGGTGGGGTCGAGAAAGGCAGCAAGCAGAGAGCAGCGTTTTGTGATACAGAAATCGGGAACAACAGGAAGCAAAGCCATCAGATCAAACGGGTGCATCCTGGCAGTGCTCGGTGACAGGGAGAGCTTTCCAAGGAAACTCTGCAAGGTCCGTGTTTGTTTTACCCGGAGTTTGCATTCTCCCTCCGGCCTTGCCTGGTAGGAAGAGCATAAATTAACACAGAATTCCTCTTCAAGTTTGCACTGGAGGGCAAGGAAAGGGAGGAGAAAGCACGCCATGTCCCAGACTGGACAGAGAATTTGTGAGCAAACTCTCCTTTCCTCCCCCACAGCCGAGGCAGGGTGACAATCACCTGGATGAGACAGACTCCCGGAGCCACATCTGCCCCTGTCCCCTTGCAGCCCTGCCTGCTGGCAGATGAGGACCGCTGGCTTGAGCTGTGTCCCCAGGCAGAGGACAGAGGTTAGGAGAGACCCCTGACTCAGCCAATGATATCAGACCCCCTCACGTTTCCCAAGTCATCTTCCTTCTCAAACCCTGAGGAGCCCCAAAATGATGCTCTGAGGCAGCCCAGCACCGTCTAAAGTGCTTTAAAAACCCTAAGTGCATTTGGATAATCTACTAAAGGAATCCTCTAGCCCCCGGCAGTCATTGCAAAAGCCCTGTAGGAGAACTGGCAATGGGGGAATCTTGCAGCAGCTACAGTCTCAGCCTCCCTTAGGTAGGAGGAGTGTCAAGCCTTTGCTGCTCAGTTGCTATGTAACATGGGTCAAAACTCAAATTAAGCTCTGCTGTGGATTTTTCTCCCGATGCTCCTGCTGGGATTTCCTCCCAGCAAATCACCTCCTTGGCAGAAGAGACCCCTGCACAGTCCCTCAGCCACTTCCAGAGCAAAAGGCCTGGACCAGAGTTCCCCAAGGCCCACGAATCCCACTGCACTTACTCGACTGCCTCCATCTCCACCTTCATCTGCCGCCTCCGCTCCTCGTTGATGGGGTAGAAGTAGAAGGTGACCATGGAAGCCAGCAGCAAGATGATGGGGACTGGAGCCATGAGGATTTTCAGGGTGAGGATGACAGAGGGGTTGTGTGTGCAATCACCAGCCTTGTAACCTGCAAAACTGAGGAAGAGCGTGGCTTGAAGAGTGTCTGCTTTCACCTGTGAGGTCCAGGGGTGGTTTGGGCCCTGGGAAGAGGACACCCTAAAGGCTAGGTGTGGTGGGAGCTCTGACGATGAATCAGCTCACACCTTCTACAAACCCAGGGAGTCATGGAAAAGAGCAGTGAAGGAGCAAGCAGAGACATCCTTCCCAAGCCCTCTTCTCTGCAAGCGCTCTAGGGAATGGCTCGGTGGCATGCCCAGCTATTCCCCTCTCAGCTGTGCCCAGCAGGAAACAGGAGAAGCAATGGCTCTGGGGCACTCCCAGGGACTCCAATTCCAGCTTTTCCTGACAGGGGCCAAAGAGAAGGCAGCAACATGAAGTTTACCCACTAACATGAATCTTTAAGAGAAAACAGAGTCTGAGGCCTACTGTAAGCTCATGGTGGAGATCCCCAGCGCAAGGCCACCAGCAAACTTGTTGAAGAAAACGTAGAAGGAGTAGAAAAAAGCTTCCAGGTTCAGGCACTTGGGGTTCTTCAGCCTGAAATCATCCACTGCATCCGGCAGCATGGACCTGGGGATGAGCAGCTCGTTAAGGAGGCAAAGCGGCTCGACTTCTGACGCCACCGGCCTCCAGCCCGGGCAAAGCTTTGGGCTTTCAGGGGAACAAAAACTCTCTCGGGACCATGCCTTTCAAGTCCGCACGCAGGCTCAGAAGCTGAATTTATGCATGAATATGCACACCTTTGCACCTAAGGGTAGGAAAGGAACCTTGGGTGCTATTTTGGGAAGAGGAAGTCATCCCTAAGCTCAGTGGTCTGCATAAGGGAAACAGGCTGGCACGGAGCAGCAGCTGCTCTCGGTGCCCACACAGGATGCGTTAACACCAATGTAACGCATGGGCTTTGTATGCAGGAGCAGAGGGATGATCTGCCTGCTATTACAGACCTTTGCCACCAGGGGGTGAGGAATCCCATAATAATATCCGAAAATAATATCCTGTTGGCAGGGAGCAAGGGTTACCCCAGGGAGAAAGTGACCCCAGCTGCAGCCAGATGACCCCCAGGCTGGGAGTTAGTTAGTGCTGGCTCTGCAAAAAGCAGCTGCACCCCAGGCAGTGACAGCACCGGCACAGGGCTCGACACTGCATCTGCTCCACAGACACCAGCAGAAAGGCTACTGGCGCCACTATAAATGTGCTGCACCGGCACTATCTGCACTTGACAGAACCGACACCAGGGCTGCACAATTCCCCAGCTGAAAGCCAACAGCAATTCCCCATCTGAAAGACAGTAGCAGACGCTGCCCTTTCAAACCCCGCTCCTGCCCGCTGCCAACTTCTTGCATTATTTAGCTCTGCAGGCGAACACACTAGGCCTTGCTCAGTGGCGTTTTCCTAGTGCACAGTTCTCCAGCCATTAACTCCCTGCAGGGGGTTGCAAAGAGGATGGAGCTGGGCTGTTCTCAGTGGGGGCAGATGACAGGAGCAATGGGCTCCAGCTGCAGCAAGGGAGGTTTAGGTTGGATATTAGGAAAAACTCTCTCACTAGGAGAGTGAAGCACTGGAAGAGGTACCCGGAGAGGTGGTGGAGTCTCCATTCTTGGAGGTTTTTAATACCCGGGGAGCCAAAGCCTTGGCTGGGATGATGTAGTTGGGACTGGTCCTGCTTTGAGCAGGGGGTTGGACTGGATGTGACCTCCTGAGCTCCCTTCCCACCCTCATGTTCTTATGATAGTGTTTCTCCTCCCAACCCTTTAGCCGTCCAGGAGCAAGTTGTCCCTGGCCTGCAGGTCTCTGCCACTCACCAGGGTAACAGGTAGAGGACACCCAGGCTGCATCCCGCCATGATCACCATAACGACAAAGACTGGGAAGTTGTGCGTCACTTGGGTGATAACGATGAGGGCAGGAATGATGATCTGGGGTGCAGAGGGAGGCAAGAGAGAAACGCTCTTGTGCCCATCTGGCTCATCAGGTATAAGGAACTCCTTCCCCCTGCTCCATTCCCATTGCAGCAATCCCTGCACCCTTCTTCCCCAGACCTGCCTGCAGCATGCCCACACTAAGAGGCTGCTAGGGCAACCACTCCCCTGCACCGCCACCTCAATGATAGACCATCCCTGGAGGATCCGGTGCATCACGTACATGGAAGAGCCTTGGGTCAGGGCCTGCATCTTTCCTGGGGCTTTGTGGGGGGCTGGGCACACAGACAGAGGTCAGTCCATGACAGCAGCCATGATGCATTCATCATGACACACCCCGAGTGCCCCAGGCACCCCGTCCCCACCCCACGGGACTTCAGGAAGGTGCCGTCATGGGTGGGACAAAGGCTGAAGCAGGAACCTGGAGTCCTAGATGCTAATCTGGGTTCTGCCACTGATTTGTGGCATGATCTGGGGTCAGGCACCTAGAGCTGGCCTTACCAAGGTATCTGAGCCTCTAAAGTTGCAGACAATAGGTTTTCCGAGAGGGACTGAGTGAGTTAGACACTTAGCCATCACGACTTGAGCCAGGCACCGACCAGTTCCAGCCTATCTGAGCTCACTAGGGGCCCAGCAGCATCTTTAGGCACCTAAATACCATGTCCAATCCGACACCTTGAGTGCAGCTCAAACTGATCAGTACCCACCAGCAAGCTGAGGCTTTCCACAGTGCTTGCTGGGGCAGGGCCAAGCTCCCACCTGGCCCCGAGGTGACTTTGACACCAGTCAGCTCTTGGAGCCTAAGAGCCTGAACCCCCTGCGCAGGGGACATAACGCAGCTGGCCCTTGATCTCCCCATGCCGTATCCCTATACAGGCTGGGGGTGGAAGGCCCTGAAGAAATGTGAAGGAATCAGCTCGCTCACTCTGGGCATCAAGGACACCCAATAAATGGAGCCACACCACACCGTGGTTTGCAAACAGGGTGGGAAGAGAATGGATGTACCACTAGTTGCACTGGATGCTGCTGAGACTACACAAACAAGACTAGGATTGCTTCCTAGCCCTTCTGCAGCATGCCCACACCATGAGCGGTGAGGGCTGGCAGGAAAGCCTCCCGCCACTCCCACTCACACCCTCAATGCCCTGCGTAGCTGCAATGAGGAGGTGGCACCGCGTGCTCGCAGACAGCTCTCCAGGGTGCCGGTGCCAGCTGAGCCACCACAGGCTGGCGGCTGCACTGGAGAGCAGGACATCATGCTTTGCACCAGGGAGCTCAGCTGGAAGTCGTGTGGGCAATGGGGCACACACAGCTACCCTAGCTTTGGGGGCACGGCAGCCTTGGGGACCTACCGACAGCCCCACGAGCACTGTCTTCTTCCCAAACCGCACCAGCATGCACTGCCACACGGGGATGGAGAGGGAAGCCGTGACCTGGGGGGGAGACACACACAGGGGGGCTCAGTGGCTTGGAGGAGCAGGGACTGGGTGAGGGGCAGACGGACCTACCAGCATGATGAGCACCAGGTGCTGGAACCTCCCAGCCATCCCGCTGGCATGCGTGCAGTAGAAGGCAAAGATCCCCTGGGCAACCTGGAAGGGAGCATGGACATGGGCTCACATGGGAATCCCAAGCCGTGCACAGCTGCACTGGGAACCTGCAGCCCCACGCTGGATTGCAAGCAGCTTCCTGGAGCCAAGGGCTCGGCACCACATCTCTTCCAGCCTGAGGAGCAGGGTATTCAGCCCCTGAATACCATGCAGCTGGAGGTGAGAGCTCCTGTAGGCTGTTCCTCTCCCCTCCCACCAGAGCTGGAGCATTTCACACCCCTGGACACAGTGGCCTTCTCACACCACTTCATTAGATGGTTCCACCCGGCTCTGCCCGATACTGCCCTGCTGCCTCCCCACCTTGCCCTGGTACCTGGAAGGCCAGGGAGGCCAAGATGAAGGCACAGAGCAGGTGGGTGTAGGACCGGTGTGCCAGGATGACCCTCAGGCTCCTGAAGAAGGGTATCTTTGCTTTCTCCAGGGGACCCAGGGGCCCTGCAGGGAGGTGACGGAAAGCAGAGCCATCAGGAGCAGCTGGCAGGCCTGCCCATGGGAACGCACATTTAAACAGAGATGGGAGCTCCTCTGTGCTGCTAGCTAGGATGAGTGTCCAGATAGGGATGGACTTCCACCCCATCTTCTCTTGCACCCTCTGTGTAAACAGCAGCCAGCAGGATGGGGGTGAGGGGCCTCCCAGGAACTGACCTAGGTAGCAAAGGAGGCTGGACAGCAAAACGCCATCACCACAGCCCAGGACGCAGTGCCAGCCACATGCCCTGCCTACCACCCAGGAGACCCTGGTTCCACTGCTACCCAGCACCATCCAAGCTCCAGCCAAGGGCAGCAGCCACCTTACCAGGCTGCTCCTTCACTCCAAACACGAGGACCAGGCAGGACAGGATGTAGAGCGAGCCCAGCACCACGGAGGCAATTGTATATGCCCCGCGCTGGAAAACAGGAGCCGGTGCAGTCAGCTCAGCCTGGGCCAAGTCGCTGGGAGGGTAGGCGAGAGGCAGCGTGGGCCAGCGGCCAGGCCCTTACCGTGTTTTCCAGCGTGTCGGTGAGGCCCGCGGAGGTGTGGTTCTGCAGAGTCCCGTTGAACGTCGCACAGATCTGGGTCATGCTGGCATGGTACCTGCCCACGATCTGCCCCTGGATGCCCGAGCCGACCAGCGTGCTGAACACCTCCACCCCCATTCCTGCCAACAGCCCACATGGCAGAGGGGTCAGCTGGCCTGACCACCCCAGCCTGAGGCAGATCTCCAAGGATGGAGCAGCTGGTCTGCGCCTCGCACTGTGATGCACTAGCTTTGTGTGTGCAAACACGTGAGTGCTGTTGCCAGAGGGGAAAAGAGGCCAGCTATTGCTACCTACTCTGGGATGTTACCCCTGAGCTCCAGGAGAAAAAGCTGGAGGTTTGGAGCTAGGACCACCACTCCACTCTTTCCCCCACCTCTAAAGGACCAACTTATCCCAGGTGAGTCTACGTGTGCATTCAGCAAGAGCCCCAAAGCTGGGGTCTGCTCACAACAGCCACACATGGTGCAGCATGGCATTGCTTTAGCTGTGGATCAGATGTTTACCCAAAACAGAACAGGCACCCCGGGATCGACGTCCAAGCTCCCGGGGCATTCCCTATGAGCTGCACAGCCCAGTTGCTGTCTCACTGCAAACGCATGGGGATGCCAAGCAAGGGCTATACTTATATACAAGCATACTTCATGATATATTGGGACACATTCAGCCTGGACATCAGGCTATTGCACCACTGGAGCACAAGGAGCCTGCCCTGGCCAGCCCCCGGCATGCAGTAAGGGAGCTCACAAGGCTCCATGGCCATAGGGTGCAGACACTTACGGTAGGCAGTGGCTGAGTCCCGGTCTCTCTGACTGCCCCCCAGGAACATGGTCAGTGAGGAGTAGGGCACATGATAGCACTGGGGAGAAAACAGGTCAGACACCTCCACCCCAGAGCATTGCAGTCACTTCCTTACACTGAGCCCAAGACTGTCTGCCTCTATCGGTTCCCCGTGCTCCCCAAGAGCAGATAGCTCTCCTTCTTGGCCACACTGGACCCTCTCCCTTTACAACTGGGTCTTTGGTCACCAAAGGGCACTAGGCAAAAACCAGTGGGCCCCACAGCGGGGTCTGTGGACTGCTGGCAGGCAGCGGGACCTGAGTGGGTGGGCTGCAGTGACAGCTGGCCATGAGAGATACCAAGACTTGAAAGGGACCCGCTGGTCCCAAACGTCTAGGAATCACAGGGGCACACAACTCAGCCCAACCCGCTACAGTGCACAACCCAGCACCACCTTCCTTACAGTCTTGCAAGTCTGGAAGCAGCAGTACATGACCAGGTACCAGAGGCACTTCTGCCAGAGACGGGTGGTGCCAAAGGGCACAAACCACAGCATGCAGTAGAAGGTGACTCCAAAGGGCATGGAGAAGGCGATCCTGCAGGGACATGCGGCGCCCATCAGACATGAGCCCTCCTGCCAGCCGGGGCTGCCTGCTTTGGCCTCCGCTCCCCATTGCAAAACCACAGCCCAGCTGAAGCCAGAAGGCCAAGGCAGGCAGAAGGGAGCCAGCTCTGGGCAAAGCAAGGGGGAAAGAGCACGCATAGCCAGCACCAGAGCTGTACCCAAGCCAGACCTGCTTATCTAATGCTTGAGATCCACCAAGTCTCAGGCCCCAGCAGCCGTGGGTGTTTAGGACCGTTGAAGGAACTGTGAAGCCAGTGCTGTAGCACAAGGGATATTCCCAAAAGTCATGTGAAATAAGCAACCCTTTTTTATGCCCATCGGAAGCTCACAGTGCAATGCGTCCAGCCCCTAAGCAGTCGCAGTGCCGAAGGAGACTGAACCCAGCTGGTCCCTGCCTCATTCACCATGGGATCAGCTTGCCAAGCTTCCTCCTGGGGCTCCTACTGACCAGGAAGCCGATGGCGGGGTCCGTCACTGCATCCCAGGCTTGTCCAAGGAAAAGGATCAGTGAGACGTGAAATGGCTTCAGCTGCGGGAGGGAAAGAGGCCAGCATGAACGGGGAGGAGACCCTGGCTAGCAGCAGAGAGCAATCAAAGCAGCAGGGCTGGGGGTAGCCTGCTCCAGGAAGAGGTCCAAGCTGCAGCCCCCTGGCATCTATGTACTGGTTTCCACCCCAGCTCACATGCAATTCTCTGTCCCATCCCACACAGAGACAACAGGCACTCACCTGAGCAACATCCAGGAGGAAAATCTGGAGGAAGAAACCCAAGGCACTGCCCGTCATCTGGTAGGGGCTGCCCCCGATGGCATAACACACCTTCCGGCACAGCGGCAGCATCGGCCGTCCCTGGGAACAAGACCCCCCCCCAGCAAGCCAGCTCAGCACAGAACCGAAACGTGGGCCCAGGTGTCAGCCGCCCTGTCCGGCCTGCTATAAAGCCACAGCTGCACCTGGTGCTTTGGCCCAGAGGAGCAGGGCACGATGGCAGC